TTATAGACAACGGTTGAACAACTTAATTACTTTGAAGAAGCAAATAGATTAGATAGCAGGGCAGTCTTCGCAAATGTATGAAGGACAGAACCGTTTTAAATTTTTTTATATATGTGAAATATTACTTTTTGGTGAAAAGTTTAATTACTTTTAGTTCAAAATATAACGTTAGTTTGTCAAGGGAAATATATAAGACACAAGGTTAGAGTAACAAAATAGAGGTATTGCTTTATTTCTTAAGAATTACTCTAATCTAAAACTTTTCTAGTATATTGTAAAAATGTATTCTATACGTTATTTAGGTACTGCAAAATCTATAGGAAAGTATGTAGTTTTAAATTTAAAAATTTGTAACGGAGACATATTTAGTGTAGTTTTTTTTAAAAATATATACTCAGTGACTTGTTTTTGTGAATGAGTTCAAGTATGGCAGACTAAAATCGTTATTTTTTATTATGAATTAATTTGAATTTATTTTAAAATGGGAACTATATGTATATGGTTTTCGTAGTTTTTACACTTGTGATAAAAATATCAAAGTTATGTATATTGGCCATTTACTACACACAGCAAATTCATAGACACAATACGTATTACTATTTAACATTCTTGTAAAACCACTAATTTAAAATTGACTTTAAACTAAGTGACTACACACAGAATTGTTTGAAAGCAGCCATAGAGTATAATTTATTTATTGGATACTATAAAAAAATTAATATTAATAGTATGTAGAGTTAAGTAACAAGAAATTTAGGACCAAAAACAAAACAAACCTTTATATCTACTGAACTTAATTTAGTACAGTCCTTAACTTTCTTAGGCTAACATTAAAGATATCTATTTGGATCTCGCTAAGAAACTCATTGGTAACAGCCATCATCTTGTTAAAAGGAGATATACTACTTGGATCTAAATCAAATAATTTTTTGTTACTTGGGTTTCTTAGATTAATCTTTGCCGCATTAACATTTATATAGTCAATCAATTCACAATCTTTGTACTTAAAATAGAGTACAAAATATATCACAGCCTGTTGCTTTCTTCTTCGTAAAAGAGATTTAATCTTAAAACTATTGAGCATAGTTTTATATGAGATCTTAGGTATAAGGGTACAAGTATTTTTTATGACATAAAGGTACCGTAAAAATATTTTTTGTACTTTTTCAATATGATCAATTTGTGTGGCTTCCAAGGGCATCCTTATTTGTGAAACATACTCAAGATGGAGTCTTACTAAGGCATTATATAATCTGATTTTGGTGGAAATTATAAATTTTTTTGTATTTCTGATTTAAAAACCTAATGCTTTTAATGCTTTTTTAGTTATGTGTAAAAAATGGTTATTGAACTTCAAATTATACTGAAAGACAACTTCCAAATCCTTTACCTCATATTCACGATTTAATGTGACATCACAGGTCTTATTTCTAATGTAAAACATTAAGAGGCTATGGATCCTTACAACTTAAAATAGACGGATAAAAAGTGTTGATTTTTATTTACAACTATAATAAGAACCCATTAAAAAGATTAAGAGCAATAGAACATTTCAACAAGTTCCTATAGGTACACATATTTTTGATACCTGATAATAGTGATAATCAATAACTAATATATTTTTTGGAGTAGCAACAGGTTTATTAATACACAACTATTATTTTGTTACAAATACTTATAATATTTATAATTAACATAATAGTTGATATAAGTCTTTTAAAAATAATATATTTTGATTTAATTGTTGAATTTATACATGAGCAATTTTAATTGTAGCGTTGTTTACATTTTGCAGATAAATATTGTATTCTGCTTTTAGCTGATAAATCATGTACATGTAAATGGGTTGAATGTAGACAATGTTAATGTTTTTGCTACTACTGCTGGCTAGGAATGCTGGGCTGGGACACCAACAAAAAAAAAGGAAGCACAAAGCACTAGATGTCTTTATCACTTATACACGTACAATTTACAACCATTCAAGTAACTAGCATGTTGGCAATACTTCACGAAAACATATTAAACATAAATCAGTCGAAGGCAATGTATTTTCTTTTTATAACACACCTTTTTAGCTTGATTACTTTTAGTATTCTATTTATTCCAATGTCCTCAAATAAAACGAGCAATAATAAGGATAAAACACACACTGAAGTGTATTTGGGGTATTTTTGATCTACATCCACTATCAAAATAACAAATTTTCCGTTTTTAAGCTGTGAATGTATTACAAAAACTACTTCGATAAAATGTAAACAAAAGTTTATATTTGTGTACGAAATATGGGTTGCCTGCGCATGGTAGCGAGTTTTTAACCGGATTTATGACAAGTGATAGGTTATATCCCGAAAACGTCAGCGCAGTAAAAGCTGCGCGTCTTTTTCCCGCCCAGGGAGTGTCATGGGCCTGCACAGACACACACATCATCCCTAAAATAGTCAAAACGGATTCAGGGGACCCCAAAACGTAAAAATCCGTCGAAAACTGGAGGTCGAAAAAAATCATGATTCCTATACTTTCCTTATCTGTATACAGATAGGAAAGTAAAAAGTATAGATTAGCTTACTAGAAAATTTTAGAATTAGTTACAAATTATTATAGTAATAATATTTTAGAATATCTTCGAGATTTAGTCCACAACTATGAAATGTAACCTCTTGATAATATTTCTAATAAAATTTAATAATTTAATTCCTTGTTTTATTTAAGTATAATATAAAATAAATATTGGAGAAGATAAGCATCAGTGTGTAACAGGTAAGTCAAAATATTTCACTTTCACTAAGGTTCTTCGAGTTAGAAAAACCTCATCCTACGATTGTGGATGAGGGTAGTTCACATGGGAATTGTCCTAATTTGCTTTGAAGACAATAAAACCCTCACGATGGCTATCAACAAAACTGTGTATTTTTTATCGTATTTCTTATTAACTTGTCTAAACATTAATATTTATAATTACAATTAAAAAATTGTTACATTGGTGCCAGAAGTGGGATTGTAAATAAATAGAGGACAAAAATGGCTAAAAACTGTGTGATTTAAAAGTGACGGAGTTACGTCGGGAATTAGAAAATCGTTAGTTAGAGACGACAGGAAAGAAAGCAGAGCAGCTTAAAGAAGCCCTAGAAAGTGAAGGTTTGGATCCGGAAACGCATCTATTCTCTGATGATGCGTCTTTTATAATTTGTTCTATGGAAAGTAAGATATTTTCCTTAAAAACCGAAATGTCTTCTATATGAACTCAATGAAAACCGATATTTCTTCTAACATTTCTTTATTAGAAACTAAAGTTTCTTCTGATGTTCCTTTAAAAAATGAAATTTCTGCTGATGTGAAAAATACGATGACTTCTGTTGTGGAAAAAAAATTAACGAAAGGTAAGTTGTGAAAAATACAGAAGACTTCAATAACGATGAATTAAATTCCATAAGGTGGAGTCGATGAGGAAATTGGAAGGAATTGTAAATCCTGACCGTGTAGAGTTCCAACTTTCGACGAGAAGATATCGTGGACCAGTTACCTAAAACAGCTGCATGAGGGAACGAATGGTCTGAAAGGAAAGGCAATACATCTGACCATGGCCATTCGAGGAGATGCTTTAGATGTCCTTCAGGCTATACCTGTGGAAAAGACGGATGACTTTGAATTACTTAAAAAGAGATTAAACGTGCGATATGGCCACGAATACTTAGAGCAGGTGTACCGGTTACAGTTAAATAATCGCAAACAGAAACGTGACGAGAGCCTTCAAGAATACGAATTAGATATTGTGAAGATGGTACGATTTACCTACCCATCGACTCCGGAATACATGATTGAATGTTTGGCTATTCAAGCATTTGTTGATGGACTTCGTGACCTTTAAATGCAAAGAACACTCCGTTTAGCCCGTCACAAAACATTGGTCGTTGTCTTATCCGCTGCTCTTGAATATGAAGCGGCTACGCTAGCTTTTAGTGAATACAGTAAAGTAAGGACTGTAAAAAGGAAGAACAGGGAAATAAAATTGACCAATTGTTTCACATGATAAAAAGCCTTATTGAGAAGCAACCGAAGACTATTAGGTGCTGGGATCGCGGTGAAATGGGAAATGTAAGCAGTTCACTTAAACTCCCAAAGAACATTACGAATCGAAAAACCGTGCCGGTGGATGTACAGTAAGAAACGGTAGTGCCTGATAGACGTGAAACCATAAAAGTAACGCGGTTGCAAGGAACTGTAGAGAAAGGAACGCCTATCATGATGGAACCTTCGAAGCGCAATGAATCTGTTGGTCAAGGAACTCTGTTTGGAAAGAGGTTGGCCACGTCTACTAAAGAAATTACAATATGAAGAACAACTGTTGTCAACGACGAGTAGGTCCCTATCAAATTTAGGGAAGAACAAGAGAACGATACCGTTTTAAAACAGATTCGACAATGGAAAGAAGAACCTCCTCGACTTACTTGACAAGAAGTATCGAAACCCTCTCCAGTAGTTAAGTCATATTCGGCTCAGTGGGGCTCTTTTATTCTGGAAAAAAGGCTTATTAAAGAGAGTACTAGAGAATGATGATGGTTTCGCAAGCAGAAGACAGCTGGTAATTTCAAAGACTAGAGTAGCTGAAGTACTTCGTCAGTTAAACGACAGTCCATCAGGAGGTCATCTCGGTGTTAAGAAAATCCATTAGAGTTTGAGAAAGATTTTATTGTAAAGGAGAATAAAACAATTTTGAAATTTAGTCAAAAATAAACAAACAAAAAAATCAGTTATTACGGGAGAGAAGTAATTTTTTCACAAAATATTCAAAATAGTAGCTAGATAGAATCAAAGGGTTGACATAATTGCCAATGTGTATTTTTGCATAAATAAAAAAAAATAAAAAACTTTTAATAATTGATAATTATATAAACTAAATTTCTTTTGCATGAAAAATCCATGGAACTGCTAAATTTAGTAAGATAAATACTAAAGTTATAGCAATTTTGTCACACAATGACATGGTGTGCATTTATACATACCTTTATATTTAATATATACCATATCAATTGCTTGTAAATGAAATGCCTTTGCACATAAAACTAATTTTTGCCTAGCATATAGAATTTCTGTGGAATCTTCTGTCCTAGTAGCACCTAATAATTTAAAAATGCACATATAAGTTTTGATAATATTAATAAATTATAAGCACTTACCAATACTTGCACAGAAGTCATCGCTTCCAAATACCAAACTAGTAGGAGTAAATTTGTTACATTCGGATAATGTAAAAGCAGTCTTGCATATATCAGATAAATTTATAAAAGCCTTAGCAGATTCTATGTATATAATAAGGTTTACTTTTTGATCAGTCTTAATAAATTTATTAATTCTATCTGAAAACTACAAAAAAATAAATTGTTGACAACGGAGTTCAGTTTAGTCAGTATTTGACTTTTTGATAAACACTGTATAAATTATTAAAGAATAGTATGGCACAACCTACGCGGATCTTATATAATTTGGTGCACTATTTGCAATTATTGTTGTGCATTTACATTGAGTGATCCACAAAAAATGTTTCTAAAGTAGACCGTTAAAAAATCTCGAATGTCGGAACATACAATTCTTCTTATTTAAATACCAGTTTAGATTTAATTCAGACGCGTGCGTACTTATTACCATGTCAATCATGGCCCATTTTACAAAAAAACATGGCAGATCACTCTTTATATAAATATTTGTTTAATTAAAAGTTGTGCCCAAGATAGGACAACATTGTTATTCATTAGATGCGTGTATTTATCATGCTATTTTAATGAAACTAACGCCACAATGGTAACCTTTTTTACTTATGTGAACGCCCAATAGCAGCCCCTACCTCCTCCACAAAGAGAAATTCACACTGCATAAATGTATCAATTCTTACCTTTGAGTACTTGGCCACCATTTTTCATTTAGGTACTTTATCTCTCTTAGCTAAAATGTATAATAATATGCAATGAGAAGATATAAATTGAAAATAAAAATATATCAGTATGGTTTTACGTAACCACATCGTTTTTGTATCACATACAATCTGGTTGTGCGGATTTTTAAGACCTATAGGAACTAGGTAATATACCTTGTTACCCTAAAAGTAGTTCTCTAAAATAACCTATCATTTATAAAAACAATGTTCTACAGTTCTAAATAATAAATAATTGTAATCATGTTTTTTTTTATTTTTCTTTACAAGAAAACGGTGCTTTCTGCCACATTCTGGTTATATGTGATTTAAACGGGTACTTGAGGACTTACTTGTTTAAAATGGCAGTTTTCTGAAACCCCAACGTTATAGGTTAAAACGCACCCCTTACGAGAAAATGCTGCGTTGTGTCACATTCTGGTTATGTGGAATTTAATCGAGTACTTGAGGACTAATTTTCCTGAAAATAGAGGTTTTCTGAAGCGCTGACGTCATAGGTTAAAAAGCACCCCTAAAAGATTATTATTATTTACGAGGCCACGGTGCTTTATGCTACACTCTAAATATGTGGGATTTAATCGTGTACTTGATAAGTACTTTTCCTGAAATGAATCTTTTATGGGTGCCTTTGATGCCGAGGTTTTAGAAAACCGATATTTTCAGGTGAAGCAGCTCTCGAGTACCCAATTAAATTCCACATAGCATGTGGCACAAAGCTCCGTTTCCTAGTAAAAAATAATCTTTTAGGAGTACGTTTTGACCTATGACGACGGGGTTTAAGAAAACCTCTATTTTTAGGGAAAGTAGTCCTCAAGTACCTGATTTAATCCCACATAACCAAAATGTGGCACAATGCATCATTTTTTCGTAAAAAAATAATACCCTTTTAGGGGTGCGTTTTAACCTATGACGCCGGGGTTTTAGAAAACTAACATTTTCAGGGAAAGTAGTCATCAAGTACCAGATTAAATCACATATAGCATGTGGCACAAAGCTCGTAAAAAAATAAATGATCTTTTAGGGGTCCTTTTTAACCTAAGACGCCTGTGTTTTAGAAAACTGACATTTTAAGTGTGCCTTTTAACCTATATGTTCGGGGAAAGTAGTCCTCAAGTACTCAATTAAATCTTACATAGTCAACATGCGGCACAAAGCACCGTTTTCTCATAAAAAATTATAATCTTTTAGGGGTACTTTTTATCCTATGACCCCGGGTTTTAAGAAAACCGCTATTTTTAGACAAAGTAGTCCTCAAGTACCCGAATGTGGTACAACGCATAAGTTTCTCGAAAATATTTCTCTTTTAGAGGTGCGTTTTAACCTATGATGCCGGAGTTTAATAAAACTGACATTTTTAAGGAAAGTAGTCATCAAGTACCTGATTAAATACCCCACAGTCAGAATGTGGAACAAACCACTGTTTCTACGTAAAAAAATAATATTCTCTTAGGGGTGACTTTTAACCTTTGACGTCGAGATTTCAGAAAACCGATATTTTTAAGGAAAGTAATCAAGTCCTCGATTAAATTCTACATAGTCAGCATGTGCCACAAAGCACGTTTCCCTCGTAAAAAAAATACTCTTTTAGAGGTACTTTTTAACCTATGACGCCGGGGTTTTAGAAAACCGCTATTTTCAGGAGAAGCAATCCTCGAGTACCGGATTAAATCCCACATAACCAGAATGTGGCACAACCCATCATTTTCTCGTAAAAAAAATAATATCCTTGACTAGGTATATTACATAGTCCTTATAAATCTTAAAAATCCGCTGTCAGAATGCATGTTATACAAAAACGCTACCATATTGATATAATTTTATTTTAATTTTATATCATCTCATTACATATTATTATACATTTTAAATAAGGGAGAAAAAGTACCTAAGTAAACTTATCTTTGTGGAGGAGGCTAGGCGCTAATATTGGAGGCCAGCATCGGTCACAAGTCCGTTTTTTATGCAAGTTATGCGTAATCACATAGGTGTTTGAGCAGAAATAATTTTTAAACGGTAAGAAGGGGCCGTTGATTTTTTTACAGCTGAGACCACCATATGCTATATGGTAATCGGGTAAGATCCACATTTATTTCACCTTAAAATTATTATTTGTCCTCTTCACTTTCACTTACAATAAATAACTAGGTACTCAAAATATTTTAAAAGACGTACAAAAATTTTTAAATAATGAATTTGAAATTTAAGAGTGAGCAATATAGAAAAAAAATGATTTCACATTTGACAAGCATGGCCAGCCATATAGTAAAATCAGTACCATTGTTGCAGTATCGAAAATAAGCTCCATAAAAAATACAATCTATTTTAAAAACTTTGATATTCAAAGCACCGAAGTTAAACCAACAATTCGGAAAATCAATAGGGTTCTCAGTTAGAAGAAATATTCAAAGAAAATCAAAACCGCTAGTCGATCGAAAAAGTGGAGAAAAGAGTAACAGTCATTTAGCATAAACTAGACCCGCATTTATTGCAGTTACTTCAGCCTGCAAGACTGTTGCCAGGTTTAGACTAATGGTCCTCCCTGAAATCGATTGTTAATATTTTTTTATCTTCCAATCGTCTAAATGCCAGATTTTGTATTTTCCTATTTTCCCGGCTTTTGACCCTTTCTGGTATTTTAATAACGAGAGGTTTTATAAAGTCATGGAATAATACGTATTATTAATACCGGAATTTGTTTCCATTTTTTCTCATATAGTTGTAAATCCATCTGTGATGCCGCCGCCATGGCCTCTTTTTTCACCACAAGGTGTAATGAAGAAAGATCTAGCAGTACCATTGCTGCAGTGGGAGTACTTTTATAGGTCCCTTTTATTAGATAGGTCAGTCTTTGTACCTTATCTAATTTTCTGCTAGCTGTTATGCTTTTAGTTTTGTACCACCGTATGAATGAAGAGTAGGTTATAATAGGTTCCACAATCTAAGTATAAAGTCAGTACATCATACTTGGTTTAAGTCCTCAGGTGTTTCCTACCATCTGTATACAGGCCCATAGTGCTCTTACAGCTTTTCCTGTTGTTTTCTCCTTATGGCTGCAAAAGCTAAGCTAAGGGTGATTCCAAAATATTTAACTTCCTTTTCCATTTTTAAATATTCATTTCTTGCAAGTTCATTTCACAACAGAGGTTTTCGCAGAATTTGTGTACCTCTCCTCTTTTGGGAACCATCTTTCGAATATATTTAGTGCCTGCTGCATCCTTGCGGAAACAACGGCTCTAAATTTACCGTTTACTACGAAGTCGTTTGCAAATGCTTGCGTATACAGGTTTGCTTTATCTAACTCCCATAAGAGATTAAGTGGAAGTTTCTTCTACCTGTGAAATATAAAAACAGGGTCCCGTCTTTCCTGCAAACTCTTTTATCAAGATATTGTGGAACTTAAGGAACAGTATTCCCCAATTCTCCTTTATCTTCTCCCAAAAGACAGAATCCATGTTTATAAAAAGTTGCTGTCCTGTAGGGTCTAACTTTTTTCCAAAAACTCTCCAGTTCTGCGTTTGGAGCCTCGAATATTTTGGATTCTTAGTCTCTTCATCACACGGTCCGGTTCCACTACTGATCCCAGTATCCATGTCATGATATTCTTGGGTTTGATTACGTCCTCAGAATCTATGACTTGCTTTGCTGTCATGAAATTAGAGATAGTATATTGGTTCAATAGCCACCCCAATATTTTTGCCTTTGAAGCATCGAAACACGATGCTACTAGCTCGGTACCATCCGGCCCCGCATTGGTCTCTCCTTTTGCGGCGTGTTGGTATCGGACCGATTTCTCTTTTGTTCCCCGGTTCATCCCTCTACACGAATTTTATTTGTTTTTTTTTTGTTTTGTCGTCTCTAAGATAGTATGACTCGCCTTCTGTCCCATTTCTGAAAAACAGGAATGGTTGCTTGCCCCGTTCCCCTGATTCGGCATTCACTAGTCTAACGGAGGAACTGGGTCCTGCTGCTATCCCTACATCTATTGATGCAGAGGTTATAGCCGCTAGTGCCAGCCTTCGATCTTCGATCTTTTTTGTCTTTCTTGTTAATCTTATCATCCATTGTAAATCTTACGAAAACCAAGGGAAAGATTCGCCACTCCTGGCAGAGCCCCGCATTATCAGGAAAAGTCTGGTTACTTGGGAGTGTCGCCGGTACCCGACAACTCATCCATCGACACGTTACCTTACACCTTAAATTGGGGGAGCTGACCCACTCTGGTAGCCTTCGCAAAAGCTTTTGAGGGATTTTACATCCTCTCAGTCTACTTCTGGCCGCCACTAACTACGAACGGAAGTTCTAATTGTTCTCCTATCCACCACCTAGGTGATGGAAGTCAGACCAAGTGTCCCTTTTTGCCAAATTGGGGCAGAACACTAAAAAATATATAAATGCACAAAAATTGCGATAGTACAACGAAAATTTCACAAAATTATAGATAAGATCCGCATAAGTTGTGCTAACTTTATAAAGAGTCTTCAACAATAAACTGTATCCCACGTGATCTGGTTAAACAATAACTTTAATGAAAATGGCCGGTTCTTAGTCTCTTTTATTACCACTTAAGTAATAGTTCATTACATTATTTTAGGGTTACTGCTAATGTTACTTTCACCTAACTGATGACATCAATTTAGTCACGTGAGATATGACTCCGTATATATAGGGCACAGAATAGATGAACAATACAGAAATCAAATAGGGCTACAGCCAAAATCATAGCCACTGTAGCCACGCCTTATTGATGGTGGAGCAGTATCAAAGTTAAATTGAAAACCAGGTCTACTTTCCTTAATTTTGGCTGACCATTATCGAATAATGAATACAAACTGAAGTGGCCAGCTGGATGTATATGTTCAGCAAAACATGAAACTTGTGAAAAGGCACAGTTTATTCTTATTTTCATTAATAATAAATCAGTTAAAATCATTAAAACAGACTAGTCAGAACCCCGCTTTATACTTCAAAGTGCCGACTATTACTTTCCTTTCTGTATTGTTTACATACTGTGTCTAGGATGTCTACAATATCTACAAGACTATGGCCACATATTTATTGGTCGTTACCCGTAGACTCAAAAGAAATTTGTTAACATGGTATAATAAAGCAATTAGCCCACATCCTTTGAAAATCAAATACAAATTATCTTACCCATTTTAGATGATCACTATTCTCCACCTTAGGTAATAGTACAGTGTGGGGCAAATGTGTTCCAGATAAACATACTTCCAGATCTTTTTCACATAAGCCACTTTCAATTGAATTTACTCTTACTCCAATATCACCATTAGCTGTAGGAATAATGTGTTCTAATTTCTTTCTAATTATATCTCTAGCTTCATCCTTTAAAATAAATGATTGAAATTTAAAGATTTAACAATATTAGTTGATCAATGTTTGTTTTATTAGCGAGTGTATGCTTTGAAAATATTACAATACAAAACATTTTTATGATTTTGATATCTATCTTTTACTGTAAAACTGCGTTTTTATTAGTCCTCTGATGTATTTCAATTATATTTTTTTAACAAACACTTATAGCCTAAAACACAAACATTTTTAAGTTTACCCACAAATAAATTCTAAAATATAATGAACGTCCTCGTCCAATTAAGTTGGGCGATATTTCACGAACTGTTATTTAATTATAAAAGAAAATAATTTAATATCTGTTTTTTGTATATAATTGAATGCATATTGTCAGTGGCGTAGCGTGGCGTCGATACAAGGGGATGTAATCAGTAACTGCGATTCACATTTTATAAAAACAAGTTGTTTTTATTAAAGTCTTTAATTTTGGACTTACGAATAAAGTATACGAAAAAATATGGCGGGTTAAAAAAATAATCAAAATATTAAAAAAGAGAGAACTAAATTAAAGTAGGACAGTTTGCGTAAAAAAAAACAAAAATGTGAACGTATCTGTTAGATTTTAAATTTTAAAATTAAGATCAATTCTTCAAGAGTGCATAATTGCGAAAACATTTATTATATTTTTTTCAAATGAAAGGGAAGAACGATACTCTCATTCCCGTATTAATAACACGATCGAGATGCGTTTAAGAGATCGCATCAGCCACCAGCGATAACAACGGACTGGAAACGGAATCACAACCGGAAAGGTCGCTGATGTAGGTCTCGTCTAATAAACAACACTTTATAAATAACCCCACAAGAAAAAGTCCAATGGTGATATAACTGGCGATATTGGGGGCCATTCAATGATACCCCTTCTATCAATCCAGTGTTGGGAAAAATTTTGATTAAAAAAGTCACGTACACGAGCTGCATAATGTGGCGGGGCGTCATCCTGTTGAAAAAATACATCATTTTCTCGGGTACTGATTGTTGTTTTCGAGAATTTCCACAATACGAGGATAGATCAAGTCTTCAAGCAAATTGAGGTAAGACTCCGTCAAGTTACCAGGTGTTATAGCCCAAAATCCTAGCCCACACATTCAATTTTTCTGGATATTCTAATAATTCACTCCCAATATCTGCAATTATGTATGTTAACGTTACTATAAAGAATGTACATTCATCAAAAAACTACGTAGAATATAAAAAATAAGGATTGTTTAAAATTCTTTTAACCATCACCTTACAAAATTATATACGGCGATCTGGATCATCTTCATTGAGTTCTTGCACGAGATGAATCTTACAGGAATGGAATCGATGCTTTGACTTCCCGCGCCGGTACAAGGGGTCCCATGCGCCCCTGAGAACTGTTTAAGAATTATTTAACATAAACCAAATGGTCAGATTAAATAACGTCCTAAGTGAACAGAAGCAGTTCAAATGGGAGTGCCTCAAGGAACTGTGCCTCGCCTAATTTTATTTACTGTATATTTAAATTCATTACTAAAGTTGTAAGTAAATGGTTCCATTGTTTTATAAGCCGCGCGATGATTCGGTTATTGTTGTTAAAGACACTACATGGGAGAGAGTTAGGGAAAAAACTCAAATAGGATTAATCTAATAAAAAACTGGCTCGATTGTCATAAGCTTTCACTGAATATCTCTAAAACATCTTTTGACTTTCACACTAACAATTATAAATTGTTCATGTTTTCATCTTAAATTAAATGGAAAGTGAAATGAGAATAATTGGCTGAGATCCGGAAAACTGAAATGCAATTTTTGTTAATGAGAAAATGAAAAATCCTGAATTCCCACTACAAAATTATGAAAATTACACCTTCATATCCCCAAAGGAAAAACAAACAAAAAAATTGAAAAATCTAATAATTAAAGAGAAGAAAAAATATAAAAAAATCAGAGCACCGACCAGGTGTCGAACCTGGAACCTTCGGACTTGCTTTCGCTGCCAATTAAGCTATCAAATCGCCCGGAGAGGATGGCATATTTCCTGTCCTTTTGCGAAAAGGATAGGAATTCTTGCTACCCCTACCCCTCCTTGTGATGTTGCTTAGAGCAAGCCTGGTAGATTAGATACCTCCCAACCAAATTCCTATCGCCCAATCTGCCTAACATTATTTCTTTTGAAAAAACTAGAGAATTCTAGATAGGCATATTAGAGAAGGGTGCCTTCAAACAAATCTGTTAAACTCATCCCAATATGCCTACTAATCAGGCAAATCGGCAGATCATGCACTGCACAATCTAGTAGGCAAAATCGGTAATTCCCTAACATACGAGGATATTGCGCTGTTGGCCTTTCTAGACATAGAAGGCGCGTTCAATAATGCCCTTCCTCAGTCTCTGTTCGCTTCTATTAAAAGAAGACGAATCGACAAACTGATCTGTAATTGGATCAAAAGTATTCTTGCAAACAGGAACATAATTTCATCATCGCAGGGAGAGTCACTTTCAGGCCTGCCAGAGGATGTCCACAAGGCGGCGTACTTTCGCCCCTACTATGAACCATTCTGGTGGATAACCTGTTAGACCAGCCCGCGGGCCGCAGCGTCCCTCCAAGCTTTTTTGTGCGGCCCTCCAAGCTTTTTTGTGCAGTCCCAAACACTATTATTGAAGGTGCTTTTTAAAACTATTGCATTTGTTTTTAAAATTTTGAGCAAAATGCGCGAAAACATTAACATTAAGCGATAAATATCATGCTCTCATGCTAATATTTTTATTGTTTTGCGTTTTGTGTTTTAGAGATTCCCAACTAATTTTAAATGGTTCAACTACAGTCCTTTTTTAAAAATATTGTGGCCCGTGTAGCATAACAAACAGATTTATGTGGCCTGAAAGAAAAAAGGTTGAATACAGCTGTGCTAGACGATCCCTCTCGGCAGGGGTGGATTTCAAATTCTATGTGGATGATCTGGTTATCATAATGTGTGTTAACCCAGAGAAAAGTGTTATCGTCCCAAAAGAAGGAAGCTCGACAAGCTTAGACAACCTACCTTGGACGGAAAACCATTCCTTTTGCGGAGGTGAAATATCTGAATATCATCCTAAATAAGAAACTCACCTGGAACCCCCAATTGGAAAAAAAACCATCAACAAAGCCAGATGGGGGGGGGGGTGGCTCAGTGGTAGAGTCTGTCTGTGGATCCAAGGGTCCCAGGTTCGAATTCCACTGTTGGCCGGGATTTTTTTATTTAATTAAATTATTTAAAATTAATTCTGATGCCTTGGTAGGATTCCCCACTCGACCATTCACTGTTGGGTTCTAATTAACAGTGCTGTTCCTGAAGTAGCGCTAGGAAACAGTAACAAAGCCTACACAGAATACACATGATTGAGAATTTAAACACAAACTTGAGACTGGCATATTAGGTACATACACCTAGGCCATAAATAAAAAAAAACAAAAACTAAGCTAGATTATACCTCTGAGCTCTCCGAAGGATATGCAGCAAAACATGGGGGGATCAGTCCTCAACTGATCTACTGAATTTACCAAATAGTGGTAAAACCCATGGTTACGTCTGGTGGGACAAGGGACTTCAACGGATGGCTAGAGCAAAGCTGTGTGGAATTCAGCGGCTTGCGTACCTCGCCATCACTGGGACAATGTCAACCACGCCGAATGAAGCCATGGAGACCATGCTGGACCTAACTACTTTCCACATTTTGCTGGAAAGGGAGATCAGAATGGTCTCATATAGACTCCTAAAGGTAGGTTGTCAATACAATGAAGAAATGCGATGGGACAAGACGGGGCTGGTGAGTGAGCTTAATAACCACCACATCCTCGGCATGGTCTCAGACTCGCTAGTTCCCCGACAGCACATAGAAAAGTCATACAGCGTCCTCATTCCAGAGAGAGACGTATGGAGCAAGGAGAATAAAACCTTCTCCCAGGCTGACTATGCGCTGTACAAGGATGGCTCCAAAACTGAAAAAGGAGTAGGAGCGGGAGTTTTCGGCCAGAAGCCAAGAGTTGACATATCACTAAACCTTAGGCTCTCTGACGACGATCTTCAAGCAGAACTGATTACTATAGAATTGGGAGCGATAGAGTTGATTAATTTTCTCCTCGCAAACAAAACTATAAAAATATTTTAGGCCCTGAGCTCCAATCGAGTTGACTCAAAGCTGGTTTGAAACTATAAATAGACTAAGTTCATAGGACCAGAACGATTCCTGAGCATTGCAAAGAGTACTGCCAAAGATATTATCTCAAAATGGATGGAGGGTGCAACACTCACGAACAGAGGAGAGATACCACAGGGCTTACTCATTCGAAGGCGTTTATAACCAACCCTTCCATGAATGTATCTGCTCAGATCCGGGAATAGAGTAAGAAAAATCAACGCATTTTCACGGGACTGATGACAGGACATTGTCGTCTGGGTAATCACATGAGAAGGATAGGTCTCCAACAAACAAGACTGTCGATTCTGCAGCGTGGAAAACGAATCTGCAGAGCACATTTTTAATACCGGCTCAGCTTTGGAAAGAACTAGATTCCAGATCTTCGGATTTACCCGACTGGGGCCTACCAACTTTAAACAGGTCTCACCCAATTCAACCATGGCCTTCATCAAAAGGTGTGGCTTGTACGATGAAGTTAGATCTGAGTCACAATAGATCCTTCTGGGTCGCAGTGGAAGGCGATGAGATCATCCCACTCATTTTCAACCTAACTTAAGCTATCGACACACATTGTTTCGATATCCGAATTCTTAAACTCGTGAAGTCAATCAAATTCCCCTTTCACACGGCGTGAACACAAATTCTAATCTCGATATCAGCTCTCTCAATTCTTCAGGCCGGATTCATGAAAATCATCTTGTAGTATTAATTACAACAATTATCTTTGAAATCTATTCATGGTCCTTCGAGTAAAAGTTTAGAAAATTTTGAAAAATTATACAAAAAAAAATAATACAGTGTTGTCAAGAAAAGTCTACGGTAGAAAAAAT